AATAGATTAAAATATATATTTCTTAATTTTTCTCCAAAATAGCCGAACTCACGGTCTAATAAGAGCGTCTAGTTCAAAATATCCAAACTCTCTTGAGACTAAAATAAACTTGACCTAAAAGGTCATGTAATTAATACCAGCAATGAACGTTTAAAGTAGTCCTTGCTTTCACTGATAAAATCGTTGGTATGTAGATTATGTGATGCTAAGTGAACGTTGACCTCTCAGGCCCAAAAGTAAATGATACCATAAAATCATAAACTCGCCTTTTTGTTATTGATAAAAAATGTTTCATCTTGTTCTAATTTGAAATCTTTGCCCACACAGGACTGTCTAACGCTAGAAAGGCCATTGATTTAGTTTCGTAAGCATACTACTCGAAGCACCAAGCGATCTGCACATGCGCGTACTTATGATACCTAGACTTATGCATTCCGATGAGATCACAGATACCACATTTGTAAACGAATAGTTTTTTTTGTCATATAAAAGCGCAAGTAGCATATGATATTTTCTAACGATATTCGTACATCAATACGTTTGAGCTTCCGGTCATAATAACACAGCCAACCCAATAGTTAATTATTAAATTCTTAACTTCCGGTGGTCCAAACGCGACATGACCGCAGATAGACTAAAAGGTAATTTTAAAGTCGGACCTCGCCTTCGGCTAGTCCGACTAATAAACATTTTCTCTGGACGACTAGTTACACATGGCTACTAAAAAGTGTACACCGTCCCGCAAATTGAATCCCCACATCTCCAAMAGTACCAACTTAAGGTTCCCTTGAAAAATGGATAGGGTGCTCGACGGACTGTTTTAAAAGTTCCGGGTAAAAGTTACCAAGAGTTGTGAGAACTTGAATATGAATCAGTAGCCAGTTTTTCAGGTATCCGTCGGACTGGTGACCACTGATCTGGTTGCGTGCAAGTAAGTCGTCCAATTAACTAGTTTAACGAGCGAATATAGGGATCATAGTGGAAAAATTGGACTGTTATATAAGTGGAGACGGGCTTGCACAGTGTTTTATGTACAATAGCTCATTACCATTACCCCTCCCCACCCCCCAATGTAATTCAATCGACTTTGAACTTTATCAACTTTTTATTTCATTATAAGTGTCCTTTGGCAATAATAATTTCAACATTCACAAAGTGCCGAGACCATCGCCAGCAGATTCTCTTGTCTGAGATGTGACCTCTTTTCTCTTTTTGTATTTTTCGTTTATTGCCTAATACAAATAACAACGAGTCAGTTGGGGTTGTCTAACAGTTATCTATTATGGATATTTTGAGAATAGATGCAAGTTCTTAGATGGGCGGATCCTAATGGGCAGTTGACCATCAATTCCATTCCCTGGAGAGTTCAAAGCATTTCATTCGTGTGGTCATTTTACATGAGTTTGTTGATGCATCTTAAAAGCGTTGCTATGCACGAACATTCTCTCGNACTCTGCCGATGCTTGAAGGTTTTATTACAAAATGTGCACTGTAGGCAATTTGCTGTATGCAGTAAAGAGTGAATGTTCAGATTGCTCTCCTCCTTAAASCTTCGACCACAAACTTTGCATATAAGTCGCTTCTCAATGTTGTGCAAATAGCAGTGACTCTTAAAGGTGTTCTGATGTGCGAAGGTTTTACTACAAACCGTGCACTGATAGGGTTCGACTCTTGCGTGCTTATTAAGATGATACTCCAACGACACTTTGTATTTAAAAGTCGCATTGCAGTGCGAACATTTGTACGGTTTCTGTGGCTTATTTCCAGTGTGCAAATAGCAGTGACTCCTAAAGGTGTTTTGATGTGTGAAGGTTTTACTACAAACCGTGCACTGATAGGGTTYTRATCCTGCGTGCTTATTAAGATGAGATTCCCACGACACTTTGTATTTAAAAGTTTCATTGCAGTGCGAACATTTGTACGGTTTCTGTGGCTTACATGTATTTTGGATTTCTCCAGTGTGCACCATGGCGTGATATGTCAAGGCACTTGGATAATTATATGCCTTGTTGCAGATAGGGCACTGTGGTTTTTCATTAGTGTGTCTAGCAAAATGACGCTTCAACTGAATTTTCGTTTTGTATGTTTCACTACAAACACTGCATTTGTATCTTTGGRAATTGTGTTTAACTCGAGAATGCTCCATAAGAAGAGCTTTTGTACTGAGCATTTCAAAGCATATTGGACACTTGTAGCCATTATATTTGCCTTTATATTTGCCTTTAGCGTGAATCTTAGAAAAATGCGTGTAAAGATTCTCTATGTTTCCCAATTCTTGATGACAAATCTGGCATTTGAGGGCACATGACTTTGTTGTGTCAGCGAGATGTGATTCTAAGTGAACCTTAAGTATTGATATTGATGGGAAACCTTTCAAGCATCTACCRCATTTAAACAGTTCTTTTGCATTACCGTCATCATGTGATTGACCATGGTTCTCAAGGGTTTTTTCACAGTCAAATTTTCGCTTGCAGACATTGCATGCAAATGGTCTGTAAAAGCATTCACTATCAAGATGATTTTCTAAACATTTCTTTTCAGCAAATTCTCTTTTGCAATGCTCACACTTGTATGGCCTTTCCACATGCCTCTTAAAATGACAATCTAAGTCATGACTATTTGTAAAACACAGTTCACAGATTTCGCACTTGAAGACTATTTTCAAATTCTGTATTTCGTTGTGATTATTCGCACTAGCACAGGTGACATTCCGAYGGTTCGTTTCAGGCTCATCATTCTCAGTAGTGRGTTTAGATGAACTTCTAGTCTCACTTTTGTGCTTTGTCTCTTGATGTTCGTGAAGTTCTTTTCTTGTAGTGTACCAGATTGAACAGACAGTRCAAAGRGAKAGTATGGACGCAATGTCTTGAGGGTTGCCTGAAGAACTACTAGTTGCGTCCACATTAKCAYGTTCTTGACCGTTGCTGCAATTATCTATTTGTGGTTGTTCTTTGCTACAAGGTTGGTCTTGTTGCTCATACTCTTGCTGTAGCTCGCTGGTAATGACTTGCTGTTGTTTCTCCTGTTGCTGCTGTTCCCGTTGTTCACAAAGTGGTTCTTGTTGTTCATTCACTTGTTGTAGTTCGCTTGTAATGACTTTTTGTTGCTCCTGTTGCTGCTGTTCCTGTTGTTCACAGAGTTGTTCCTGTTGATCACAGTCTTTCTGTGGTTCGTTGGTAATGACTTGCTCTTGTTGATGCTGTTGTTGTCGCTCCTGTTGTTCACAGAGTGCTTCTTGTTGTTCATGATCTTCCTGTAGGTCGCTGTTAATGACTTGCATTTGCTGCTCCTGTTGTTCACAGAGTTGTCCGTGTTGTTTTTCTACACAGCTTCCTTTTCCGTGTGCTATCATTTTATGTTTCTGCAAACCTGTTCTTCTACTAAACCATCTGTTACACTGCTTACACAAAAAGAGCTCAATCTTCTTCAAAGAGCCAGAATATGTTTCAGCTGTTTGAGAAGACTCATCAGCAGTTACAACAATTGAGGTTATCGGATCTTTGCACTGAGAATCAAAGTCTTTTTTTAATTGCTCATTTTTAGTGATGTTTTGAACTTGAAGGAAACGTGCACCTATTGT